ACTCCGGCCGTCATCATGTTCTCGTCTGGAACAACAGGGACTCCAAAGGGCATTGTCCACTCACACGGGGTAAAACCTCCCGTGGCTCCTCCTCCTCTTTGGTGGCTTTCACACCAAGCCGGAGACTGAAAGACAAAGCTGACAATTCCCCCAGGGTCTCGTCGTGAATGGTCGGAAAGAATATAATCTGCACAACAACTTTGGCCCGGGTGATTTGTTCTACCAGTACACAAACGTGAGTGTTGTTGCCATCCATCGGGACTTGCACTGCACTTGCTAACCGCCCCGAGCAGATTGGATGGACCCTGTGGAACATTTCGGTCCACGCGCTGTTCGTCGGCACGGCCGTCATCTTGTACGACGGCAGTCCATTCTACCCGTCACCTGAAGGGTTCTTGAAGGCGCTATTTCGTCTCAAGTAAGCCCCCCAAACGGCATCACCGTGATTGATTCGAGAAGCAAACAGATACTGACGACGGCTAGGGTTACTTGCTTTGGCGCCGGTCCTCGCTACTACGCCGAACTTCAAAAAGCCTCGGTGAAGCCAAGTCAGTGTCCTTGTTTCTTTTCAAGTGCTCGCGAGACACAACGAGCGAGTCGAAGATTCTCCTGCTTTTAACAGGACTGTTTTTGACCCCTTGTAGGAAAATATTGTCAGAGCCTTCACTCCATAATCTCCACCGGAGCCGTCCTCACCCCCGCCCTTGCAGAATGGCTCGTCGAAGCGTTCGGGCCCGTCTGCCAGCTCTGCATGTCCGGCGGCACAGAGATCTCCGGCTCGTTCCTGCAAGGCTCCCGCTCTCTCCCATCGTACGCGGGAGAGTTGGCGGTGAGGGGCCTCGGCATGGACGTGGCCGTGTTTGGCGTCGACGGCCACGAGCTGCCCGACGGCGAGAGCGGCGAGTTGGTCTGCCGAAAACCGTTCCCCAACATGCCGGCTATGTTCTGGAACGACCCTGGCCGGAAGAGGTACCACGCCTCCTACTTTGAGCGGTTCTCGCGTAAGTACTCAGAACCCCGCCAACTCTTTCGAGACACTCACATGCCATTATATGTCAGATGTGTGGACACACGGCGATTTCATCCGCGTCAACCCTGCGACAAAAGGCATCTACGTCCTTGGCCGAAGGTGAGTGGTGCCCCTACCTACCTACCTACCTGACAACAGTCATAACAGAAGAGGGGGCTCCTCATCCCTTACTGACGGTCGTTTGGATATACCCAGTGACGGGGTCCTCAACCCCTCCGGCGTGCGCTTCGGCAGCGCCGAGATCTACAATCTCCTCGGCTCGCCCCGATTCCGCGAGTCGATCGCCGACGCCCTGGTCGTCGGGCAGCAGCGTCTCTCAGCCCCCTACGCGGACTCGGCCGAGAAAGTCGTGTTATTCATCAAATGCCACCCGGAGGCGACGACGGGCTCACCCCCCAGAGTCCGGGCGGACCTCGACGCCGCCATCCGCGCACAGATCGCGCGGGACCTGAGTCGGCGACACGTGCCGACGCACATCTTCGAGACCGACGTCGTGCCCTACAACGCCAACGGGAAGAAACTCGAGATCCAGGTCAAGGCCGTCCTGTGCGAAGGGGAGGCCGCCCTGCGCAGGCTAAAGCTCACGGCGGACGAGATCCGACAGCTGCGCGCCTACGTGCCCTTTTATCACATGGAGAATGTCGTTGCGCAGCTTTCCCCGCAAGTCGGCAGCACGGGGGCGAAATTGTGACCCTGGTGTTGGTTGTGGGATACTCGTGGACTTGTACCGACTTACGCGAAGCACACGAGGGACTTGTTAAGTCTGACTATGTAGACTAGCCAAGGGATAGGCACCAACTAGAGAGTTTCATTGGCTGTAATAATTAAACAGTGGCTGTCTCCTAGTACGGTACGGAGTATTATTAGTCTCTCAGTGTCCGTGGTAAGACGCTAGTGCCGATAGTAGCTAGCTCATTTCCCCAAATAGTGTAGTTCTGAGTACTCTTACCGAGTTAATACGTATGTAGGTACATAGTGGGCCCATTTTTGCACGAGTACAGTACATTACATACAGCCAAATCACGACTTTGAAAAAAATTGGCAGCGCGAGAGAAGTCTTCGAGGCAATACTAGGGCGTGGCCAGGTAAAATTGATTTTTTTCGATCTACCGGCCTCTCATCCATTCTTACGATAAGCCAAAGATGGAATTTGATGGGAGTACAAGGGTCAAATGGAATCAAACACAAGGCGTCCGCGACCAAAACCACTACGAGGGTGATGTCATGGGCTAGTGCCACGTCTCTCGACCGCGGACTTCCAACATCAAACGCGCCTCTCCGTCTCCGTTCCAGTGTGGCGACCCCGTTTCGCATGCAGCTCTTCGACCGGGGCATCGACCCGATAATTCATCGTCTTCTTCAGATCGCCGAGGAACAAGCACACGATGCTGCCCGCGAGACCGATCGGAGCGGCGATGATGAACACCACCCGGATCGAGTCCGCGTAGGCCTGCTGCAAAGCGCTGAAGCCCTGGGCAATGATTTCCGATGTGGCGCCTGGGATGGTGGGCAGCGTGGCGGTCTGACCTGTCGTTAATGCCTCGAGGAAGGCAGGGATCGAAGAGCCGGGAAGCCCAGAGGCCTCGGCGGCTGCGATTATATACTCAGGCAGGTAGAGTTTGAGTCGTGTGTTGAAGGCGGCCGTGAAGATGGCGGTGAAGATGGCGACGCCGATGGCACGTGCGGTTGTCGTCACCGCCGAGGCGGTCGCCAGGACTTTGTGTGGGACGACAAGCTGTGCGCCACTGACGGTGAGAACGAGAGGCGCTCCAAAGCCCACGCCGGCGACACAAGCAAAGGCAATGGCGTTGGTCGATTGACCTGGTTGAACGGTGGCGAGCCCTACCATGCCTGCTGTCATGATCACGTTTCCCACCAGCAATGGCTCCCGAATCGTGCGGAAGTGAGTGCTGGCGTAGCCCCAAAGAACTGTCGAAAGTAATGCTGGGATCCAAGCCGCCTGGGATCGAAGAACGACGAGAATAGGATCGGTTGTGAAGAGGATTTGAGACCTGTACATCATAAGATTCAGCCGCTCAAAGTCCTTCTACAAAAAGGTAGGGGACCTACATGATAGGATAAAAGATAGCAAAGGCAAATATACACAGACCTTCCACAAAGATCAAGAACGTGCACAAGATGAATGTCCTCGCGTTTGCCTTGCCCGCGCCGAAGAGATCGTGGTGTACAATGCCAGTCGTAGTGCCCTTCCACTCGTAGAGGCCGAAAGCGACGAGGCCGAAAATCCCAATGATCAACGGTGAAAGAGTGCGAGCGTCGACCCAGGTATACTGACCGCCTCCTAGGCTTGTACCTGTGAGGAACAGGGTGAGCCCGACCATCAGGATGCCGCATCCAACAAGGTCAAGACGTCTGATTTTGTGCCAAAAGGGCAGATTGTCCAGCTCGGTGTGCCGTTTGGGAGGTCGATATGCGAACAGGACTGAAATCACGTTGGTGCCCCATAGAGCCGCCTGAAACCACTGGTGACATACAGTGTCAATGTTATGCTGTATTTCTGTGATTTGGATCTTTCAAGACTTACGTAGAAGTCACGCCAACCGCGGTGCGTATCGCGTTTAATGAGTGCTCCGATGGTCAACGGCCCTACCACGGTTGCGAGGAGCGCCGAGGCGTTCATTGCCGCTTGGGCCACTGATAGCACAGTGATCATCAGTGAAAATTTGAACTATGACTAGGTAAACAAAGTGTCAAGATACGTTGGGACTCACTGGGTCGCCATCGACGAGGGAGGATTTCAGCAGGCACAGCATACCCCAGAGGCACTGCTGCAAAGCCAAACCCGATCAAAATGCTCGCTCCGATCAGTCGGTAGATATTTTCTGACCCGGGGGCGATGCATGCCCCGATGAAAGCGATGGCGCAAGTGCCCACGAGGAGAAGCTTTCGGGCCTGGAAGGCGTCGGATGCGGTGGACAGGATAGGTCCTACTACCGCCTGAACCAGTGATAGAGCATTGACGACCCAGGTCTGGGTGGTGGTGTTGTGCAGGTCCGTTCCGATGTAGGTCAACTGGCGATGGTAAACACTTGTCACGGTATACCTAGGGTATTCACGTACCACTGCCGGAGGCCCCTGAAGCGCCAGGACCTGGGTGAAAACCAGCACGTTCATCGCTGCGAGGGCGATCCAAGTGCGTGCGTGAAGCTCAGGCTCAGCCTCTTCCTCATCAAAAGTGAGATTATCTTGGTGCTGCTCGGAGTACTCCACCTCCTGGAGCTCAAATCCGTTATGTGACTTGGAGTCGGCAGCAATCGGGGGGGTGATCCCAACAGTATGGGGACCTGTAGGGACCGAAGTACCATTGTGAGCAGCCATTGTGGGGAGAGACTGTAATGCAGAGCGACTCCGGTGAAATCTGGGGACGCCCAAGGTGGATATACAGGAGTAAATACTCGTCCATGCTTAACAGAGAATATGGGTAGTATTTGACAGCGTCGGTCCTGAATAAAGCTCAAAAGACTTTGACATTTTTAACGACTAGGTCCACATCTAGGACTCAACTGTAGCCTAATGATTTTCTGCATTGAATCCGGGGTACGGGGTACAGGGTGCTGTTCGGCGTCTGGAGCTCGGTCCGTCATCGTATGCGAATAAATCCAGGGAAGGCAACACGGCTCCACACAAGTTCTATCGGCCCGACAGCAGAGCCAGACTGTACAAAGTGTAGTTCCAAATGCGCTAGTCCTCAACTAGTATGGACCCACTGACTATCACGATAGGTATATGGTAGATTTATCAGACTGCAACCATAGTCAGAACTACAAGTATGGTCATGGCAACCCTGCGGTCCGAGGTCAACGAGACTCAAGTTGACGACAAGCCGGCCTTGACACAGCACCAGCTGAGAGGACCATTTTATACTGAACTGGTCTCCCGCTTCGCCAGCACCACTACCACAGTTGTTCTGCAGCGCTACCGTTGAAGAAATATAGGAATCCTATCCATCATGGTCGCCGTGCCCTTTCCCGTGGAGATTCCCGAGGCCAGCCCTTTTGGTCCACATAACATACCATTTGGGATTTTCAGTACGCCGCAGGGTGTTGGTCTTGGAGTTAGTATCTTTAATCCACCATCTTCTTCATAAAAGAAAAAACCTACTGATGCGCCTTGTAATCCGATTTTATAGACCAAACCACGCGCTGGAGTGGCGCTCGGAGACTATGTCGTCGAGCTCCATGAGCTGGCTCAACGCGGCGTGTTCGATGCGCACCAAGACACTTCAAAGATCTTGAGACAGGTCTTCCTCGAGGTGACTGTGGACATTGCATTCTTCGGCTCTAGGTCATGGTGTTCCTAATACCTTTCGCCAGCCTACATTGAACTCGTTCGCGGCGTTGGAAGGCAGTGAAAGGAGATGGGTCCGACAGACAATCATCGGAAATGTCACGAGCGACAAGTCAGTCCTCTTTACGGATCAAGACCTGAATGAGAAGGCCTTTGCGTTGGCCCGTGACACGCAAATGCACCTACCGATGGACATCTCCGACTACACCGACTCGTTTTCGTCTCTCATTCACGCTGAAAATGTGAGCCTGCCCAGTCTCCATTCTCCAAATATCGTCCACTCTCACACTCTCTAACTCGTCGCCAGTCTCTGAAACCTCTGGGACTCGACCTACCGCCGGCGTTCAAGCTCTATCCACTCGGATACAATGGGCGTTGCTCCTCCATCTTCCCATCGGGTCACCAAATCCATAGGCCGAGTGGATTTTTCATCAAAGAAGGCGAGACTCAGCCGGCTTTCCAGATCTCGCGAAAGCTGGACTTTGAGATCGAGCTCGGGGCCTTTATTTCCAAGCCGGTCCCCCACGGACAGACAATCGACGCGAAGACCGCGGCAGATCATATCTTCGGCTATGTCCTCCACAACGACTGGTCGGCCAGAGATATCCAGCCGTATGAGATGCCTCCGCTGGGGCCGATGCATTCCAAGGGCTTTGTCACCACCATCTCGCCCTGGATTGTGACTGTGGATGCGCTAGCAAGGTGTTGCACAGGCCCGCCGACATCCAACGCAACTCCGATCCATTCGTCGCTCGTAACCGACGAGGCGAGTCACGGCGTTTATGATATTGAGTTTACAGCTTCGGTGGCTCGTAAGTTTGTATGATTTTCTCCGTTTTTGGAAGCATCAATGCTGAAATGTCGCGAATAGGTGGTGGCAATAGCCCCGTCGAGATTGTCCGGTCCAACTACCGCCACTCATACTGGAGCGTTCCACAAATGATAGCATACCAATCCTCGGGGGGCTGGGGCATCAACACGGGTGATCTGGTAGCCAGTGGAACCGTCTCGTCTCCAGCGCCGGAGATCAAGAAAGGACTCGGCTCGTACGGATGTCTCCTAGAGTGCTTTGCGCAGCAACACGAGTTGCCTGCGGTGGGCGGCAAGTCCATGTCCTGGCTCGAGGACGGCGATGAACTCGCCATCCAGGGCTGGTTCAAGACGGCTGACGGTAGGAGGTGTGGGTTTGGCAAAGTGTCGGGCGTCGTGGTGCCGGGTCCTTCGTGGCCCTCGTAGAAATAGACCTGGAACTGGCTGGTTATCAAGGAATCACCACGACACCGTCAGCATCGAGCAAGCCTTGTTTGCTGCCCAGTCTAGCGGATATCCTGGGTTCGCCTTGAAATATCATTGAATGAGGCGGGCGAGCGAGCGACAATTGGTTTCGTGGTCGGTATTGAAATGCTTGTTTTCAACATGGTAACCGAATTGGCCGAGGTCAAGCTGCGAAACTCGAACCACGTTATATACGAGGTATGGTTGTTTGAAGGACTCGGTTACGGTGAATCCATGTCTGTCTCGCAGAAAGTTGTCTTGGTGACAAGAAAAGAACAGAGAGAGGGTCCGTAACTCGCTCGATCTTACATGAATCTGTCTTGAGGTCTGGCTGTACATATAAAGTCAGCGAAGAATTCCTCTGAGAAATATTAGAAGCAGCTCGAACCTGAAATATCTCATATACCTAATCTCCGATCGCGAAGCCAATACAACAAGACCGAGGCATTGAAATGGCGCCACCCAGAGTCTTGTTGACAGGTGCCAACGGGTTCGTCGGAGGTCATCTCCTATCTTTCTTCCTGGAGAAATCGTGCTCGATGCAGGCTGTGGTTCGACCCGAAGCCAAAGCGAAGAGAGTCACGAAGGACTTCCCCGGCTATGACAGGTTGAGGCTCGACTTCTCCATCGTGTCCGACATCACGGCGCCGGGAGCCTTTGACCAGTGCATCAAGGACGCCCAGCCCCTCGACGCCATCATCCACGCCGCTTCCCCCCTCAACTTCGCCGCGGCCAAGTCACCTGGTGATTTCATCGACCCGGCAATCCATGGCACGACGGAAATCCTGAAGTCGACCGCAAAGTACGCGCCCGGGCTCAAACGACTGGTCATCACAAGTAGTTTTGCGGCCATCGGGAACCCACTGGATCTCCAAGGAAATGGGAGAGTGTATTCCTCCGAGTCGTGGAACCCTGTGACCAAAGAAGCAGGGATACTCGGGGGATGTGAACCTGGCGTGTTGGGCGAGCAAGACCCTGGCAGAGCAGGCAGGTGAGTCGAGCAATTCTGTCAAGCGTGATCTTCTGTCATCGTTGTCAACATCCTGACTGACTTTGCACGCAGCTTGGGAATTCGTCACGACGGAGAAACCAGGCTTTGAGCTCGTCGTCCTCAACCCGCCCATCGTGTACGGTCCCCTCAGGCACATTGATTCCATGAGCGATCTAAATACGTCAAACGCGATTCTTTGGAGGCTCATGAATGCCGGAAAAGGCGCTCCTGTCCCAGATGACTCTCTGCACATCTCTGTCGATGTCCGGGTGAGTCACGACAATCTGTCTCATCTCTCCATGGCTCAGCGCCCGGCTAATTTGTCTTTTTCCGCAGGACTTGTCGTTGTCACATTATCAAGCGGCCTTTGCTCCCGAGGTAGGAGGCCGGAGATCTCTCATCATTCCTGGCCGTAATAGCAACCAGGAAATCTGCGACATTTTCAGAAGGGAATTTCCGGAGCTCGACTAGAAGACCCCCCTGGGAATCCAGGGCAGCATGCCTTGGCCTGCGGGCTCGTTCAAGGTCGACAATTCGTCGTCGCGAGAGGTGCTGGGTGTGGCGTATCGGCCGTTCGAAACGACTGTCGTGGATACTGCAAGGAGTTTGTTGGAGGTGGCAAAGACATTGACGGCAAAGGTGTGAGATGGGGGACAATCGACATCTACGAGTTGCGAAATGCAGGTGACGATAGTAGTAACATTGAGCTGAGGATAGCGAAACAATACAATACATTTAGATCCCGTCCCAATCCTTCACATGGATTCACATCGTGTCCATGTCGCACTACTGAACAAATCGGCCTCGACTGCCGAAAGCGAGTGCTGCCCATCCGGCAATCAAGCACATACCCCCAAGGGGAGTCACGGGGCCGAAAGCCTTGAACCGCTGAGGATCCAGAACGAGCAGGTAAAGGCTCCCACTAAACATTGTCATCCCAGCGGTGAAAAGGGTGGCGGCGACCTGGGGGAAGAGGAGATTTTAGAATCAAGGACCCCATAAAAGAGCTCGGATACTACCTTGTTCTTTGGGGCCACTGCCGCCGTCAGGAGGAGGACTCCACTGTGGATTAACTGCGTTGGAGGAATAACGTTAGAAAGTGATTGTGACCATTTTTTTCTGTCATCCTCGACGAAATACCTGGTATTGAGCAGCGGTCGACCAGTTTGCGAGCCTTGCCGGATCACTGATGTGTCTTTTCAGCCCATGGGCTCCAAACGCGCCAAAGATAACCGAGGAGGCGCCGTAGATGCACCCGATGGTCCAGAACATTGTGGAGAGCGATGAATCAAGCGACCAGGAGAGGACAAAGCAGCTTCGGAAGGCAAGCAAAAAATACCCGGCAGAAGATGACCAGAGAGTCGCAGTCAAAGTGGCACAGTGATGATGACCAGTGAGCAGGAAGTGTGTGGCGTGTTCCTCTCAGTCACGGTACAACACACTTTTTGCCAGGTTTGGAGAGTTTGCCGAGTTTGCAGCATTTGCATTTCCGGCACCAGCATTCACCGACAGACATAGATCCACCGTTTCAGCGAGATCCAGATTCGCCATCCTCATACAAATAAGAGCTGCAATTGAGGAGAAAGTTTGTTGTCTGCTCTATTATTGGAACAAGCTGTGTTAGCACCTGATCTGCATGGCCGGAGCTGGCACAAGACACTATCAGAACTCCCATCTGCGACTGAATTGACGCCTTGCACGAGGGGATTGTGCGCAGTAGCTTGACCCCATTGAATGAACCTTGTGTCGGTTCGAAACGCTTCCTTTCTCGAGCCCTTTGCCCCTAACAATTGTCACGATTACTATAAGAACCTTTCCGGCTGTTGTAACTTCATCGCTGTTAGATTAGCGAAAGCCACGTGTGGTTCGTAGTAGAGACGGAGGGATCAGGAGAGTGCAGATCCTCCTGACTAGGTGCTTAGGGGACACCTGCGTTATAAAGAGACTCCGTCTTCATGAATGCTATTATTCCGACAACGTGCGCAGAGAAGATGGCTGGTATCGCAGGTGGACAATGCCACGAGAGTTGACAGGAACAAGCACGGACGTATGTAGTGGACACAACGATAAGCCCGTGGGGATGATGACCAACCTAGTGTCGCTAGTGGACCGATGGTGGGTGTGAGGATCAGCGTCCAAGTGCTTTTGGGATGGAGAAAACAGGACCAGGCTGAATGGGAGGCTCCATCTCTGCCTCCTTGCTGGAATAGCGGATCCCGGTAGTAGAAAACGGGGGATTCGGGCGTTGCACCAACTGATGACCATCTCTAGCCCATATTAGACGCGGCCGGCCAATTTCTCTTTTGCCAGAGTTGTTCTCGCTTCCCAATTTTGTCCCCAGTTCTCAGGCGGGTTTCTGCATGTTGGATTGGCAACTTCATATCCCTGGTCTGCCTGGGCTGAGGCGCCGGTGCGCCTCTCCGGAGCTTGAGGGCCACCCGGCACTCTTCCCCCGGCTTGCTCAATGTAGGACTAACGCAGCAATGGTCGCCACCACGAGAGCCAGTAGCAGTGAAGACCAGCCGAGGGGGAGAGGTATCGTTCCCTAGGATCTCGTTTAGGAGAATTTGACATGTTTTTTTTCTCCCACTCTTTTTTTTTTTTTTGGCTTGCCTATGTTTCTCGGCCGTGTGCAAGACCCCTATGTGCTGCATTCGACATGGTTGACCATCAAGGCTAGATCGGGCGGGGGGAGGAAGTCCCCATCAAAGGAACGGTATAGGTAGATGGTGACAGCGACGATCTGTGACCTGTGCTTGTAGAGCCGAACAAGATGGTGCACCTGACCCGAAGCCGAGTGATTGGATTGTGGTGATGGTTGGTGGTTGATGTTTGAAGTTCGTGGATTGTGTGTCCCTTTGTCACTCCTCGTACCAGTAGCAAGACCCTCGTCCTCGTCTTTCGGGACTGTTCAATCCCTGCCTTGAGTTCGCCAATTGAAACTGTCCGTAGTGGGCAAAGAACAGGGGAGTCCAACCCCCCGAACCGACACAAATCCCCACTTGGAGTTTAACGAACCAGACACCAAGAACCAAGAGTCAAAGGAAGAGTCAAAGCAACCCCCCTGGTGCCCCGAGCCCCAAGAAGCCAGACCCGGACCTCCCAACTGTGGCATCCATTCCTTCTGCACGCCTTCCCCCAAAGACTGCCCTTTTTCAATTCTGTGACCCGACCTCACCACCACCACCAAAGCCCTCGATTTCTACCACTTTCTCGTCGACAACTTTTCGCCGCTCTGCAGGCAGTCAGTTGCTTCGTCTCCTCTCCAAACATCCCATCCCGATTTGCCTCCCTCTCGCCGTCGAACCTGACTGCACTCTGCCGCAATCCCGAACTCTCCCAATCGCAGCTCTAGTGGCCCCCCCGTATTTTATCCACCTCGTCCCTGACACCTCGCTCCTCGGAGCTCCTGCGCTCGTTCATCGCGAACCTTGCCTCGACACCGATCAGACATCTATCTTGCTGTGCGCGTCGCTCTGGCGAAGCTGAGCTTTTGACGGCTGACTTCCTCGCGAATACCCCCCCCTTTAAACCCTGGTCCGACAAGGGCCCGAGCGGCACCATGTCGACCGACCTGACCGGAGAGCAGATGCAGGCCAAAATCACAGCTGCCAGGAGAGAAGCAGAGGGCCTCAAAGACAGAATTAAACGCAAGAAGGATGACCTGGCTGATACAAGCTGTAAGTCGATGGACCTGTGCATTGAATTCCCATCAGGCGCAGCCTACTTGTCCACCACTTTCTAGATTGCTAATCAATCGTGTTTCGGCAGTGCGACAAGTCGCCCTCAACAACACAGAGGCCTTACCTCGGATAGGCATGAAGCCTCGAAGAAATCTCAAGGGCCATCTCGCCAAAATCTACGCCATGCACTGGTCAACAGATCGCAGGCATCTGGTGTCGGCGTCTCAGGATGGCAAGCTCATCATCTGGGATGCATATACCACTAACAAGGTCCACGCTATTCCCCTCCGTTCCTCGTGGGTCATGACCTGCGCATATGCCCCTAGTGGTAATTACGTCGCTTGCGGTGGTCTCGACAACATTTGCTCAATTTACAATCTCTCCACGAGGGAAGGCCCGACGCGTGTGGCTCGCGAACTGTCTGGTCACTCTGGGTACTTGTCATGCTGTCGTTTTGTCAATGACCGAAAGATCATCACTTCGTCCGGTGACATGACCTGCATGATGTGGGATATCGAAACCGGTTCCAAAGTAACAGAGTTTGCAGATCATTTGGGGGACGTGATGAGCATCAGCATAAATCCAACCAACGCCAACATATTCGTGAGCGGCGCCTGCGACGCTTTTGCCAAGTTATGGGACGTCCGAACCGGGAAAGCCGTTCAAACATTTGCTGGACATGAATCTGACATTAATGCCATTCAATTTTTCCCAGATGGAAATGCATTTGGAACTGGCTCGGACGACGCCTCTTGCAGACTGTTCGACATTCGGGCAGATCGAGAACTGATGTCTTATCAGGTAAACTTTTGAACCCTAACGGTGTCCTGTTCCCGCGGATTGGCTGACCTCTGTCATAGAACGAACAAGTGCTTTGCGGTATCACGTCTGTCGCTTTCTCAGTTTCTGGCCGGTTACTCTTTGCTGGGTATGATGACTTTGAATGCAAGGTAAGTCCCGTCCTAGCAGCACCTCTTGCTTGAACCCACTGACGTGAATTCGAGGTCTGGGACACTTTGCGTGGTGATAAAGTTGGTTCATTGAACGGTCACGAAAACCGGGTCAGTTGCCTTGGAGTCAGCAACGACGGGATCAGTTTATGTACTGGCTCTTGGGATTCTCTAGTAAGTTATCATTAGTCTTTATTGACCAGTCTGAAGAACTCGACTGACGTATTGCCTGTAGCTCAAAATCTGGGCATGGTAGACATGGCTTGGGAGGATGATATACTTTTGTTCCAACAGCGGCAATTTGACTCAAATGTCATCCTCGACGGGGCGGGCACCATCAACCAAATCACCTTTTTCCTTATCAACGATCGCATCGACAGCTTCTGACGGGTTCCCTTTTCTCTCCCCCCAAACTTGACTGTTACGCGAACCTGAGGGCTCATTTGATTTCTCACACAACCCCTTCGAAATCATTTACTGGATAGGCTTTTCTTGTGTGTGGACTATTTCACAGGACTGGAGGAGGGTTTGCTGGTTTGCTTCTGTTCTCCAAGGCATTGGCAAGACACACTGCGCACGTTGTTTCCTATCCACGACTCTTATGACCGGACATTGGTGCAATTGGAGTTCATTCTTGTTCTCCTGTTTCGTGTCTAATCTTGACAAGCACGGTTTCTCGAGCACCTCTTGTTTGCCTCAATACAACTGAACAGAAAGTCAGCCTTGCTCGCAGATCAGGCGAGCGAAGTGCAGAGCAGAAGAAAAAAAAGGGGAAATTCCCAAAAATGTGAAATCTGGATATCGACAGCCTCATTCCTCTATTCATGTGCGTGCGTTGTCTCCCCAGGATGACTGGGGAGGCCGAAATGAATGATGTGGAAGGGAGCGAGGGCGAGGAACAAGCACCGAGACGCGATGTTATAGAGATGCTGAAAAGGGGATTCGGCAGCAATGGGGAAAGCACGCGACCATTAAAAAAAGTTCTCGCGTCTCAAATGTTTTTTTGTTTGTGTGTGTGTGAATGCGAATCGATCACAGCGAGTTCCAGGGTCTTTTTTTTTTCCTAGTTCGAATTGCAAGGGAAAGGGATGAAGGCAAGGCAAGGGCAAGGGGCAAGGGCAAGGAAATGGGCACGAGGGAGTCTAATCTGTCTGTCTGTTCTGTCCGGTCCGGTCCGTCTATCAAATCAGTCTTTTTTTGTCTGCGCTTTTCTGCTAATTGGGGAGAGGGAGAGAGAGAGAGCCTCCTTTGCCGAATTCCATCTTCAATCTTCAGTCTTTAGTGTCTGTCTCGTGTCTTACCTAGTCTACCAAGTGTCTTTTTCCTTGACCTTTTAGCAGGACAGGACCGGACGATACAGGGCAGGACAGGCTAGCGCACGGTTCCGGCCGGTCGGTGGTTCCCCGTCAGTGCTCATGGTTCGTGGTTCCATCACCTCTTATCCCCCATCCCATGGGCACCCGTGGGGCAGTGTTCTGATCTCGGGAACTTGGGAGGGCTTCAGTGAAGGATGAAAACAGTACGAGGTACGAGGTACCGAGTACATCTCCATGCTCTCTCCCGCCCTCTCTGTGTTTTGGTGGGACGGGCAGATCGATTTGCCGGCCACGCTCTCCGAATCTCTCTAGAGTACCTCGCACATGACGTTATGTATGAGCTACTCGGTACATGGACTGGCTATAGAGTGTTCACTCATACACTCGTCTCAGTGCTTACTGGAACAGGAACAGGAACAGGAACAGGACTATTCATGCTTCAAGATTGAATTGCTGCTGTAGTTGTATATCTGTACCAAGTACACGCCATTCCCGCCCGCTTGCTCCACAGACCTCCGAACCAGACTCGAGAATCAAAGGCCCTGCAAACCATAGAACCAAGTATAGAAAATGTTCCCCCGATGAGTCCCAGTACACCCGGGGCTGTCCACGGCATGGAGTGGACAGAGCCTCGAAAGATGCCACCATATCTCCCCTTCGTGCTGCCTGGGGCTCACAGGGAGCTTTCCGAATCGCCGACTCGGTCACCCAGGGCTTGACTCATCCAACCCGTCATCGATTCCTTCCAAACCAACTACCGGGGACTGGTCATGAGCTACCCAAAATCATCCTCTAACAAGCGCACCCATCTCTCTCTTGATCAAGGTTGATGTTGATCGGATCCGAAAAGTCACCACCATATTCCTCGCTCTCTTCTTGTGTCAGCGCGTTTCTGGCAATAACTTCAAACGCCTGTTCCACGTTGATGCTCTCCTTTGCACTGGTCTCAAAATATGGCATTTGTCCACGACTCTGGCAGTAGGCATGTGCTCTCTTTTGCGACACCATCCTCCGCTCTTCACCCAGGTCAATCTTGTTTCCCAATACCACAAAAGGGAACGACTCGGGGTCGCGGGGAGAAGCTTGGATGAGGAATTCGTCGCGCCAGGAATCGAGGGTCTCGAATGACTTTGCAGAGTTGACGTCGTAGACGAGGACACAGCAATCTGCTCCCCGGTAGAACGCCACTCCGAGCGACTGAAACCTTTCCTGGCCGGCAGTATCCCAGATCTGGAGCGTCACGATCCGATCATCGACGGTGACCTCTTTGGTCAGGAAGTCGGCGCCGATCGTGGCTTTGTAGGAGGTGGAGAATTTCTTGTTCACCTGCGGAAAAGTCAGAAGGCTCCGTCTGAGGAAGTGAGGGCGTGGAGAGAGCGCCGTACATATTGATTCATCAGACTAGTCTTGCCCACACCACTATCGCCTAGAATAATGACCTGCGCACATCCCAGGTCAGTTGCATTGATTGAGGAGCGACAAAGAGCTGCGCAGACTTGATTACCTTCAACAACACCTTCTTCCTCGACGCCATAGCTACTCTTAATGTGTTTGTGACTTGTGCTGTCCCTGCGAACGTCGAGAAGAGCAGGGTCCTTGGACTGGTGTGACAGACGCTGCTGGGGCGGCTCGGTACGATTTACGGCGTTGATCTGAGAGGTAGTTCGCCGGTGGAAAGTCACGCGATAGGTCGATTGCTGTTCCCGAGGTGTTACTTGTAGTGCAGAGGATGTGGCTGATGCCTGCGCTCTTAAGTCGTCTGACCTGTGCAAGGCAACCGGGAGGTGGTGGATGTTGGGAGAAGGGTGTTTTGAAGCTTGGGAAGTTGAGACGGGGAATGGAGGATGGAGGTTGGAGGCCAAAAAGGGCAGCGACAGGTCGATCGGGGATCGTGGGTGCGTGGTGCGTGCGGTTGTTCTAGTGGGAGCCGTAGTGGTGGTTCGAGTCCCTCGTAGGCGCAGCTGTATCGTCTCGCCGTCATCCACTCTCTCCCTCGTCCATCTCTCCCAGCCTCTCACACGCGGACCTGACGGCCCTTCCCTCTTCCCTCCAACGTCCCAGCATCCGGAAGGTCAGCCGGGGATGAAATACCCCCGTCCAGGTCCACTACTTCTCTGTCATGTTCTTTTGTCATTCGTTTTTTGAACGGTTTTATGATTTCTGCTGGACGCGTTTCCTTACCTATAGATTTCTCATTTCCTTCCCAACTACGTCCACTCCTTTTGCCTTAGCTCTTGCTTTGAATGGATCGTCTCCAGAATGCCGTGTGTTAAATGATCAGCTCAATCATGGCAACATGGAAAGAACAATATCTGGCAGCCTTGCAGGCCCGAGATAGCGTGGAAAAGGCCAACCTGCCGCTCTACGACTACTGCACCAAGCTGGCAGACGAGAGGGCCGAGTTGCAGAAAAAGGCCAGACTTGCTGAGAGGGCTTCGTCTTCTGAAAACACGCCTGCACCGGAGCCTGTCGCATCTCCAGGATGGGGCATAAGGAGAGTGACCTCCCCATCTATTCAAGGAACCCGTCCGGACTCTCCTTCGGCAACATCCGCCACCCTGGCCCAGTTGAGGCAAGACCTTTCCAAAGCCCAAACTGAGCGTGCGGACCTGCAATCCCGCCTGGATACCGCACTCCGCGAGCTCGAGGCGCTGAAAGGAAAGTCCAAAGCCGACACCAAGCGCATCACACAACTAAATGCCTCCATCTCACAGCTGACTATCAAGCTGAGAGACCGCGATGAAGAATTACGTGGCAAGGCGAAGTTGATAGAGGATGTTCAGGACGAAAACGTCACGCTGAATTTAGAGCTCCACATGGCCGAGGAAAAAGCGCAAAGGTTTGAGAAGGACAACAAGGAACTCGTCGAGCGATTGATGGCGATCAAAGGCAAGGAGGCCGACATGATGAACGAAGAGGGCAAGTTTGGATGATTTGAGGACTCGATTACAACCCGACGTCTGCTTCTCTTCTACGACTCGGCCTGGGAACTGGGCCACAGATGTCTTGAAGAGGATGAGCAAAATGCTGTGCCTCGTCCGCAGAATCCTCAGCGGTGTGTGCATCTTCGAGAGGCTCACAACCGCTGCTTCCCCCTAGCCTCGTCACAGGCATCGGGATGTCCACCAGGCCAGGTAAAAGAGACGGGCTATGTCTGCCACACATTTTGCCGGAACACCTACAGAAACCCCAAGGAATGGTAAGTAGCCCTCACCTCTACGTCTTGCTTGATTGGATCCGAGTCATTGACAAGTGGATGATACAGGGTGACATTCTCAAGAGCCAGAAATGTTTTAACGAGCGCTTGTTGAATTCAAGTACTATGCAAATGGCACCTGGCCATCAGTCAATCACACATCTAGCAGTGCTGTCATTTCATCCCCACATTGTCCCATGCATGGTGTCCTCGATAACCGGCGCTATGCAAGTTGTTCATCAAGTCGTTTTAAACCAAAGTAGATCGAAGACCATCCCGATGCCAGAATCATGCATTCCGCCGAGTAACAGCCCTCGTTCTCCGCGGAACCGTTCGCTTCTAACAGTTTTCGGATCCACCCATACTCTCTACAAAGGCGTTCAGCTCCCTGGAGTCTTTGCGGTGGTGATACCATTTCCCCGGATCATCTGACCAGCTGACCATGGAACTCCACCGTTCCTTCTCCACAACCGTTAACACGTTGACAGGGTCATTGACGTTGGAATCCTTGATCTTGTGCGCTGGGGACCGGAAGGGCTTCAGGCTGACAATGTGGCATCCTTCCTTGAGGTCGAGGAAAACGTACTTGAGTTTGTCGTTCAACTCGGCGGTGAAGGCTTGGTTGTTCACCAGGACCACGTCTGCTCGCTTGAGAACTTGCCGGACTTGTTCGTTAGTGAGGAAGTTGCCGTGAATGAGGTGGACCTCGCCCGGTTTGATGCCCCAGAGCCGGCAGCGAGCTGGGAATTCGTCGCCCTGTAGCTGGGCCAAAATATTGGGGTTGTCCATGACTTCACATCCCCATGACTCGGCTCCAGTCTCCAGGGCGGCTTGAAGCACACAATTACCGACACCGGAGCCAAGATCAATAAATACCTGATCGGACTTGAGGTTCGTCTCCTTGAATATGCGGCTCAGAAATTTAGGTAGGAGTTCGCCGTAGACATTGTCGGAAAAGCTTTCATAATGTCTCACAAGATTGACTTGGGGCGACACTGTCCGAGCGTAGATCTGGTTCTTGATGATATGCTCGACTAACCTGAGATCAACGCGGCGCATCTGATCCAGTTTCTTCGCGATCGTCCCATCCTTGCGCTTGTCAGCCACCAACGAGTTGAATGTCTCCACCACTTTGACATATTTTGACTGAGCTCCAACTCGCCCTCTCATTCCAAGGAGGGCTTGTCGATGAAGCTGTTGTACAAGTCCTGATCCATCATCGCTGGTGACTTTTTCTGCGGACTCATTGTCGAGATAATACTCTGCCACGATTTTCATGGTTGCTTCGATTTCGTCCAGAGGTTTGAAATCAGAAGAGTCGGTAGGCTTGACCAACTGGTATTTCTCACTCTGCAGAGAAGTCGGGTACTGGAGCTCGATCGTGGGGCACTCATCCTCATCCCCTTCCAAGGCTGTGAAGAATGCCTCGTATTTGTCTCTTCCATGTTCTGTAAGGGTGTTGTTTGCGATGTCGAACGCATGCACCATGTGAAAGCCGCTTCCATCCTCCTGAGAAAAGGCTGCGAAATCCCTAACTTTGCGCTTCTCGTCTATGCTGTCTTTGCGATCGAGGCGGATTCGCTTTCTAGGCTTGTCGCCCTCTTCTTCGCTCTCATCATCGGAGCTTGTTAATCTCGGCGTCGACACAGCAGGAGATGCTCTCTTCGTCCTATTTTGTCTTTCTTTCTTTATTCGTTCGGTCGGCTCTCCACTGTTCTGCCTGGAATGCACTGAAACTGGAGTGCTCGACTTCCGCGGCGCGCTTGTGATGCGGGCATGTCCATTGCTGAGAGTTTTGCGGGAGAACGCAGGCTTGGTGGAAGCGACAGTTGGGACAAGTTTTGCGGCTGGCTTTGCAGCTGAATTCACTGTGACAACCTTGGTGGCAATCTTGAGAGGTGCCTTTTTGGCCTTCAAGGCAGCGAATGACAAGGGTCGAGATTCGGCTGGCAGGGATCCCATGCTGAACGACAGCAGTGAGCAGAGACGAATACGCAGAAATAAACGCTAATATAAAGAGCGTGGTTGAGATCAGGTTGACATGGTGTATAAAAGGCAGGCGTGCAAAAGCACAATAAATAACGAAAGGGAGAAGGTCACAGGCACACGACTTAGTGAGCGCGGGTAACAAACATGAAAAGAATGCGAGGTGAGGCGCACTCGGGTATCCTAATAGTACAAGGGACAAGGATGTACCTGCATGAGTTTTTCCGTTCAGCCTGGCCGCCTTGCGAGGCGAAAAGGGAATAGATCGGCAAATCATTGGGGCGGCTTGGCCTACGTCACTGCGTCCTTTCGGCGCAGGCGTTTACATTTCAACGCAGGTTGCAGAGAAATTTAAAATCTATAACGACAGTTGGAGCAGTAGAGGCGATTACTGGCACAATTAGAACAAAAGCGAGAGTCAGAGAAACAGAGGGTATTGTTAATGGGGACCATTGGAACCACAACAAAGGAAAGACTCTCAGCAACAGCGGAAAGACTCTGAGCAACAGCGGAAAGACTCTGAGCAACAGCGGAAAGACTCTGAGCAACAGCAAAAGGAGCTCCTACAATCGCTGAAACAGCAAAGCGAACAGATAAGAGAACTCACAATGAAACGGTGCAGAATTCACACTCAAGATATATTATACGCTCTCTTTTCATACTGGCCTGGGCCACTCATGAGGCTGACCTAATATGGAAAATCGCAGAACCGCATCTGAATCTTCAACTACCCTTAAACCACTCATCCTCCGCAAGCTGCTTCGCCGTAGGCCTATCTCTCGGATCAAGCTTCATTATCTTGAGTAAAAAGGTCTTGTCTTCCTTGGACACCTCTCGCTCGGCAATACGTCCAAAAGGCTTCATCTTCTCGGGTGGTACGCTGTCCATGACATAATCCAGGATGGCTAAAACATCATCGTTCGCTATTTCTCCATGAGACGCTGGAAATGGTCCAAAAAATTGATGCTGCCTCATGAGAATCCTCAATTCGTACTCCTCATGGTCAGCAGGCACATCTGGTTTAAATATAAACCAGTCATCGCCATAGATCAGCGCAATGAGCTGCACGTAGAGAGTCAGGTTATCAATTGTTAAGTATACCCAGGATTCGGACTCACCATAGCACCAAAGGACCAAATGTCAGTTGGAGTTCCCCAACCGATTTGGAGCATTGCTTCAGGGCTTCGCCAGATTGGTGCCCCGATCATGTCACAATCTCTTGCCCAAGGAGAATTGTCAGGAACAGTGTTTCCCAAATCACTCAACTGGACGTCGGTGAAACGATGTTCTCCCTTTCCGTAGTTGACCAAGACATTATCTAACTTGACATCTATGTGAGATTCAGTGGCGTCCCTTGCAAGCTTGAGGATGTACAAACGACAGACCTGTGTGTACGTAATGCTCCTCGTGCAGCAACTTTAGGGCCTCGAGGACACTTTTGGCGACGTATTTGATTTCGGACTTAGTGAGCCGTTGGGATGCAGATGCTCTCCGGAGGTCGTCATCGAGATGTCTCAGTACGAGTGCTGGAGTATCGGCAGGGTCATGTATCTCGTCGATCAGAGGCCGGAGAGAGGATGTCCTGGCTTGAAAGCGTTTGAGAACTGCCCGCTCATTGTCGAGACGAAAGTGCCGAACGCTTTTGATAACGACGGTTTGCTCACTGTGGCTCCTACGAAATCAAAATCAGTCGGGAGAACGGTGAGCGCCAAGACAACATACTTTGCCAGCCAAATGGATTCGTGTAGTTGCTTTTGGATTGTATATGTGCCGGCACTACCTCTTAGTAGTTGGCCCAAACGAAACAGAGAAGCCATTGAGATTTCCGTAGAGAATACCAAGATTCCGACTGGAACATATCCTGGGTACCGGAAAGTTCGCCGTCCAAATTGCGGCCGCCAAGACTAACTTTCATCCCATCCCGACCAGACAGCCAGAACATGCTTCTGTAGAAGTGTAGGCGCCGACGCAACCCATTACAACCCAGGAACAACGCTCAACACCTGATTCAGTGGTTATGAAGTGTGAATCCACATGTGACACGCCGACATGACTATCGCCGGGTGACAACAGTTTTCCAACGAGCGCAAGGGCTGAGACCGAGAACTTGGAAGGAAAGCAGGTTGACGGGAAGAGAGTTGAAGAGGACGCGGCGAGGTGGGTTTCTATAGACGTCAAAAGCGGCGGCGCGCCCAGCCCTGACCATACCTAAAACGGTAGGACCGCCTAAGCCAGAGGCGGATTTCTCGGCAACAACTTTACGGTGCAATTCGATAGTACACTTACAAAGGACGAGACGCATATGAACGTGTCGTCGTCCCCCAGCATAGACTCCTCTTCCTGGGCGTTCCACACATAACCAGGCGTTCATTACTCGGGGGACGAACTGTTGCGCCGCTTCGATCTTTCTTGCCCTTCCCAACGTCTCTGACCACCCCAGGCCCTCTTATGCCGGTTGTTCCCTTGCCTACCGTCGAACCTCTTGTGACCATGATCTCTTTCTGATCGATCGCGGTTACCAGGCCTGTTCTCGTTGGAAGGGGCGGGATGAGTCTCCATCCATTTTTCCAGCATGTCTGCAATTTTTGGACCCCACACATCCTCGCCAGCTTCCAGATCGTAGTATGTAAGCGCAGGCACGAAGCCTTCTGGAGTAGGGTGAACACTTGTGTAGTCGCCTTGCTTACTTCGTACCAAGGCTGCCATCGTGCCATAGGAACCGCAAGCGATACCTAGATCATACGCAAATGAACGCACGTAGAAGCCACTGCTCACAGTGAGGCGGATGCGCGCTGCGGGGGCATTGGCAGGCTGAGCTTCTTGTGTCGGGAGATGGTGTGTATGTAACTCTGCCTTTTTATCATGAGGTAGCTGGTTGCTTTTGCGCTGTTCTTTGTACCTCTCATCAGAGGGGCTCTTAGAGGTGGTGGGTGCTGGCTCTTGCTCCACGGTTTTCCTTGTTGCTTCAGCTCCGGCCATCAGCTTTTGAGCCACAGCTTTTTCTTCCTCACTCGCTTCCTCTGCTGGCCACCTGAAATCATGCTCTCCAGGGCCGTAGAAGTCAAGTAGTGTGCATTCCGAAATCTCGACCTCCCGACTTTCTAACTCCCTAGGCAATTCCTTCCCACTTCTTGCATACTCGTAAAGCTTCATTCCATCGATTTTGATTGCGCTGTAAATCGGGGGAATCTGTTTCATCTTTCCCCGGAAGCGTGTCAATCTGTCTTCGACCACTTGTTGAGAGATGGTTTCTGTCGGAGCCTCTGCCACTATCTTCCCCATGATGTCGTAAGTGTCGGTGCTTTTCCCGAATAACACAACCGTCTCATACGTTTTCTTGCAGCCGAGGAAGTCAGGGAGCGATTTCGACCCTCTGCCGAGTCCAACAATCAAGACGCCGGTTGCAAGAGGGTCCAGAGTCCCGCCATGGCCCATCTTGAATATCTGGTCATTGCCCCTCTTCCGGCGCTTAGGCTGGTGTCGCTCCTGTTCCTCTTGGGCTTTTCTGGTCTTTTCAAGTAAAGGGGCGAAGGTTTTAGATTCCGCAAATTTGTGCTGGAGGTCTCGAAGCACTTGAGCGGAAGAGATGCTAGGAGGCTTGCTGATGGCTAACAGATAGGTGGCTAGTTAGGGTATGCACTGGAAAACGATGGGGAGGGTCTGAGGAGAGGAATTGGCCTCACCAAAGACGCCCTCGAGGACTTTTCCAGCTGGCTGGGCCATCTTGAGGATGAAGGCCGGCTTCATGCGACACAGGGAGTCTTCCGGTCGCAGAGCTGCACCTTACTGCCACCCTGGGGGTTGGTCTGCTTTTTCACTCTAGGGATAAAACGCAGCGCAGGCTTCGAGAAGGACTTTGGAAACAAATCAGTTCACGGAAAAGTTAGTGGAGCCGCACGTGATCATCGAAGTTTAACCCTCCGCTCAGCCAATCAAAATTGTAAAACCCTGCCTCTAGCCATGGCTCTCCCACTACCAGCCTCCAGCCTCCTTCTCTTTGCTCACCATAATGCGCGTTGATCGTTTCTGCCACCCACTCCTTACGACGGTTCAACCTCACCATCGACACTACCTAACCATTGCAAGTGACAACCGACTGCGAGATGCCGATGAGACCCCTCTCCTTACCTGCTCTATAGCGCAGTTCCTGGCTCGCAGCATGAGCCTCGCGGTATCCTCTGGATATGTCCACACGACCTGAAGAACGAGTTCTAAAACCCCTCGACCCCGTCCCCGATGATGTCAATGATTGGCCGGACTTCGCATTGCGAGAAACAAAAATATTCTACCAAGGAAAAGGCCGCTATGCAGACCTTCTACAGGCTTCGGAAGAGGCACCACTCTGTGTTGTGGGGGAGTTGATGCCGTTGGACGATGAGCAGGAACATCTTGGTACGCAGTTTCGTCCGTTTTACCTGAAGCAGGTGCTGATGACTTCTACCAGCCTTGATAGAAGATCCATTATATGCACGTATAAAGATCGACAACGTTACGAATTACAGCTTTGGTCAAGATGACAACGGGAAGCCCGTTATTTGGGCTGCAGGCAAGGCGGGCTGGTACGAGATTTCACCCTCAGATCGCTATCTGAGTCATTTCAACGACACTTTAGAGGCTATTGATTTATTTTATTTCATGGTTGATCAGCACCAGAAGCTTGGACGGAAACGCCAGAAGCTGGGATTCATGATCGACCCATTTCTTACCGCATACCAGAAGCACACGGGTTACAGGATTAATGACGATGACGAAGCCATGGAAATGATTCATAAACATCATCGCTTCTTGCTGAAGCAGATGCTTGAAGAGAGGGAAGGGATCGACTGGTCCCAGACATATTTATGGAAACATTTAGCCGAGACTTACGCAGACGAACTGGAGGTATTGAAGACGGCCTTGGCAAGAGTCAATCAGAATGGCCTACCAGAGGCTTCAGACTCGTCGGAAGAGGAGGAAGACGATGGAGGTGAGGAAGAAGAGGGGGAAGAAGCACAGGAAGAAACACACCAGGACAGAGAGGGCACGTCAGAAGGGTCCGATGGTGACGCTTCCGAAGCAAGTTCTGAGGCAGCCTCCAGCAGCGCGACCGAGACCAGGCCGGAGCCCATTGACTGGACCAGACCTATATGGGATATGCTAAACATACTCCGGAAGTCAGCGAACTTCAATATGCGACACTGTGGAATCGACGAAGCCGCCACGGAGCTACAGAAGTTGCCTGCGTTCGATGGATCACACGAAGACGCAGTGGCCGCGTTTGAGCGCTCAGCAGAGCCATTATTGAAACTAATGAACGAGGCAAAACTCCGAAAGAAGTTCAATTGGTCTACCCGGAGAATATACGACGAGTTGGAAGCTACTCTTGCCGATGTGGTCGCAGATGAGACCATGAAGACTCCCCAAAAACCTGGCGGGGGGAAACCCCAGCGGCATCGAATGAAGTCTGTGCTTCGTCCGAGCGGAGCTAGCAAATCACACAAGCGCGCGAGAGGCACCGTGGAAGAGGACGAAGACGAGGTGATGAGTGATGTTCCCATTTCATCACCAGTAGCTCGACGACAACCTGGTCCGCTACCACCCAGTGGTTTGAGAGAAACCACAGTAGATTCGGGGCCCAGTCGCGAAGATAGTCCCAGTCGACAGCTCAATGGTCATCTAGGTGCCGACGCGTTGCCAGAGCTACCGCCTGGGCCGGAGGCGCAAGAGATGCTCGACTTGGTTGCCCAAGAGGCCAAGCGAGTTGGTCGACAGCATCAGACGGGTCATCTGCAAGCATTCCTGGGACAGTGGGTTGTCTGAGCAGAGCAGGTCAAGGCTCTTGCAGCAGCATTTCGGGAAGGCGTTCTGAATCTGGTGGCCGTGCCTGGTTGGGGAGTTTTTTGCACTGTGTTTGTCTGTATGATTGTGATACCCCCCATGTGCTTCGACATAGCATTGTGTCTCTTGTAGAGAATTAACTCCTGTGACAAGTCTTGTCTGTTGTCGTGGCTCCTCCCAAATGGTGACTCATGCTAAGCATCACCGAGTAGCCAGCCTCTTGCTCTTGCCAGGCCTTTTTGCCTTGCCCTTGCCGCCCTTGCCTTTCATTCGAGCCGCCGAAAACCCGCGCATGTCCCCGCTGCTGATGGCATCGCCGCTTTTTGCGTGCCGTTTCTTGCCACCGAAGCCGTACTTCTGGTCGCGCTTTTGTCGCTTGGGGTTGGGGCCACTACCGACACCGCGATCACGGCCCGACCGATCTTTGGCGGCTGGATTCTCCACGTCGATGTTTTGGAAGAGCTCGTCGTCTAGGTTACCCTCGGTGACTTTGCCGGTGTCGGCGCCCTTGCGTTCTATGGGACGGAAAATCGTGTTAGTAGCCTAGCCACACAGATCTGACGGGAAAAGCCATCTCGGTGGGAAAAGGTTAGGGTGGAGGGTTGTGGGGAGGGGGGCAAGACTCACTCCTCTTCAATTCCTTGATCTTCTCGAGCGTCGTCCTCTTCTCCTTGGCCCTCTCCTGCTCTTTCGCAACCTGCACCGCCTTTCCAAACTTCTTGGCGTCTCTCAACTTGCGCGCCTCCTCTGCGGCTTTTTTGTTCGCAGCTTCGTCGTACATCTTCTGCTTGACGCGGCCCATGTGTTCGTCGCTCTTGACCATCTCTGCGAAGTAGTCCGCGGGACGGGAGAAGGGGATTTTCTCGGCGCGGAGCAGGTCCCGCGCCGAGACGACGGCGGTGCGGGCGATGCGGTAGAATTCGAGTTCGCGCGTGAGGTCGTCGTTGGGGTCCGGGACGGCCTCTGACGTGGACGGGAGATCCGATACCAGGGAGTTGTG